CTAAACACCTTTTATCCTTTATAAAATTTGCCTCTTAAACTTTGAAACCTTTTTATATTAGACTATAGGTCCGGTGCATAAAAATTCATGCACTGGAGGGGCAGGGGGGTCCCTCTGCCCAGCCTGCCCCCTTTCACAGTTCGGGAGCCCTCAGGGGAGGGAGGTGACCCGGCGATCAGGGGAAGGTGATGCCCCATCACACTCTGCTGCTGCCTCTGCTGGCAGCACAAGCCTCGGCTGACCCTGGTTACCTGAGCCTCGGGAGGCCCTGGCCGGCTGAGGGGCTGAGGGGACTGGGGGTCTCTGGAGGCAGGCCTTGCTGCGCACCTGCCGCCCTGGCGGAGCTGAGAGGACTGGGCACCGCCATCTTGTGGCTGTGGGTGCCACCATCTTAGAGGGTGTGGCAGTCAATTAGCATATTCCCTTCTTATTGGCTGTGGGCACCACCATCTTTGTGATGGCGTGAGGGCCAGTTAGCATATTCCCTCTTTATTAGATAGGGTATACAGTCAATAAGAATTAAATTTGATTTAATTTGGCTTGGATAATGTAATAGATTTTTTGAATTTGAGAATGATGTATGATGTACTAAGTGACACAGCTGTCATGTTTAAGAGGTGCCTGGAACTTTGTATACACTTGCACACAGACACAAGACAGCTGTTTATCCCTGTGGTCAGTGTTTTAGGGCAAACGCTTGTTCTTGCAATGCAATTTCTAAGTAAGCAAGCAGAATGAAACCAAAGGAAGTATTTGAGTGTAATTCTTAATAACGTCTCAACTATAGATCAGACAGTATGAAACACAATTTAGCAGGCTTAAGCTTAAGGATGCTATTTCTTATTCTAAAGATGACTGTTTCACAATACAGATTATTAAATAACTAGAGGCCTGGTGCACAGGATTTGTGCACTGGTGGGGTATGTGGCCTGCCGGGATTGGCCTGCTGTGGGAGCGCTGCCCTTCCCGGTCACCTGAGCAGTTGTGGACCCACCCTCTGAGTGGCTGCTCCCGCTGTGAAAGCACCACTCATCCTGGTCAGCCGAGTGGCACTCCCACTTTGGGAGTGCACTAACCACCAGGGACAGTTTCTGCGTTGAGCGTCTGCCTCCTGGTGGTCAGTGCACATCATAGCGACTGGTAAACGGGTCATTCTGGTCATTCCTCCATTTGGTCGCTGGGCTTTTATTATATAGGATGTCTTTAAACTCCATATTAGAAAAGATTGGCATGTCCATTTCATTTTTTCAAAGAAGCAGGCTTGACTGTATTTTATAAAATTAATTTGACTTTAAATTTGCTTTCTTTTTAGAATATATTCATTAATAGTATGAAATTTTCTCCCCATGGGAAAATACTAAGATAAGGAATTTCTAAAGGAATTTAAAGAACATGTATTTGATTTAGTGTTAACTATTCTAATCATCTTACTAGTAAAGTATATCATCTTTCTTTAATAAAATTAGGATACAGTTTCATCCATTTCCAATACGGCCTATTTTATGGTTAGGTTTTCTTTCCTGGAATTCTCTAGACTGGAGATGCTTCAGTTTCCCACACTGATGTTTCTTGGGATACTTTGCATCAGTTCCCAACTCCTGAAGGACTGGTATAAAATACATTCACAGATGCCCAGCTGGTGAACCTCAGAGGTTGAGTGTTGACCTATGAACCAGGAGGTCATGGTTTGATTCCCGGTTAGAGCACATACCCGCTTGTGGGCTCAGTTCCCCCAGAAGGGAGAAGATTGATGATTCTCTCTCATCGTTGATATTTCTCCTTCTCCCTTCCTCTGAAATCAATAAAAATACAGTGGGGCCTTGACTTACGAATGTCCCAACTAACAAGTTTTTCAAGATACGAGCCGTCTCTCGGCCAATTTTTTGCTTTGAGTTGCGAGCTGAAATTCGGGTTACGAGCCAGCTTCAAATACCCCACCGCTAGTTGGCGCAGCAAACGTCACAGTGAACATCACAACATCAGCCCAGCATCACGTGTCTCACTCGTTCACTGTTGATTTGACATACGAGTAATTGGAGTTACGAGCTCCGTCACGGAACGAATTAAACTCATAAGTCAATGCCCCACTATATATTAAAAAAAAATACATTCATAGAAAATGCTCATCCATTGAATTGGTCTAATCATGATAGAAATTCATGCTTAGTTGTTCTGTTCATGGAAATGCAACTTAGTAACTAGTCAAGTTTTCTAGTTTGTGTTTAATTTCTATTGATTTGCTTTCTCTTCCCTTTTGTAGAAGTGTTAG